GGCCATGCTGGCTGGGGAATTCTGGGAGTTGAAGTCCACACATCTTCGCCAAGGTTGAGGAACCCTGTATTACACGATTCCTTTCCAGTAAGCAATGTTACTGAAAGACAGAAACAGAATAAGAAATAGTAGGCCAAAGATATTAAGGCATGAGATTTAAAAAAAAAAAGGAATTTATTCAAATCTCTTCACATCACCGTACCTCTCCCTACATTCCTAGCCTTACAAACCATCCTTGTTTCCACCAAGTCCACACACTGCTTCAGACATTGCTTTTTGTTCTTTAAACTTCTCACCTCTTCTTTTCTGAGGATTTCATCTGCTCCAACCACAACTTTCTTTGTCTCTTCCTCTCCGCTCATTCATTCTTCATCCCATTTGTTTTGCGATTCAACTTCATTTTTTTATAGGGCACACCACCTCAGCATACATCTTTTGCATAGTCACTTCATTTTGTATTCAATGAACATTTATTTTTGACCTTTTCTTGTTTTACACACTTCTTAAATAACAGATTCCGTCTGCATTCAATTTCTCCTTTTACACATTCATAAATCACCTATTCCCATTGCATTCCATTTAGTTTTATCCTCCTCATATACTCAGTTCTCATTTCCATATAATGGAGAAAAAGTATGCTGTTACTCTTAGTCATTTTGCTTCTTTTATTACCTATTATTTATTAAATTTATTATGGCCACCTACTCCAGAAGACTCTGGGTGGTTTTTGTCAAACATTTATTCCTTGGAGATTTTTTTATCACATCAGTACACAGAAATAGATAAAAATTTACAAAAAAAGAAAAATAGAGACAAAATATTAAACCTGACTACATCAGTTTTTCCATTACACGAATAAAAGATTCAGGTCACAAGCAGTGAACACATTTCACCAGTTCAGTAGTGTAAATCTGAGGTGGTGCTTTCTGTCCACTGTAATTTCTCTGGATTAATTATGAATCATCCTCACCAGGAATTCCTTTCTTCAGTTTTCTTTCACACCTTGCCACCTTTCTGACCATTTGAAGATCCACATTTCCCATACTTGGAGCTGAGCTCAACCAAAAGCATAGCACTGCACTGGCACTAGATGTCGCCAAAGCGATGCAAGACTGAAAAAAAGTCTCTTCACTAGACTGGAAAATCCTATGCAAGACGCAATAAATTAGGCACTTAACCTTAGAGCAATGAAATGAATAGGATACGATGCTTTGCACAGAGGTAGTGGAAAAACTCATTAGAGGACGGTATATCCGTCTACTTCGCTGCCTTTGCAGAAGGTAGGAATAATAATAATGTATTAACTTTGGAGGTTCCTACGGAACAGTGGTTCTAGACTCCAGCAACTCTAAATGCATTAGATCTGATGATGCTTTGGATCGCAGGACTGCCAAGTATTAGTAATTAATTTCCTTGATAATTGGGAGGCATAATTTGGATAGCCATGGCTTGGCTTTTGGAGACAGTCACCGCCTTAGTGGCGGCGAGGACTTGGGCGCGTGCGGCGGGGCAAGAAGACGAGGGCGGGGCTCCCTAACCCGAGGTGAGCACACGTGAGACGCGGGAGCAGTCGCGTCTAGTAACCATAGTGAAACTAGCTTTCCGCCCCTTCGTCGCGTCCCGCCCGGGGAATGCTGGGATACGGTTCTGGGGACGGTTGCTTGGCGACGGGAGGACTCTCTGGAGAGTGAAGTTTCTGTCGTTTCTGGGCGGGAAAGGTAAGTTCCTCCAACAGTTAATCCCACAGGTGTCCCTTCTTATTTTCTAAAAATGGGAAGAATACGGGAATTCTGCTGTCCGACTTTGCAGCCTCGAAAAGATGCCCTCTTCCGACTTTTTAGCAGCATCCCTTTGGGAAAAGGCATTTGACCCAGGTTTCCAAAAACTGCCTTGTCTGGAGAGCCACCCTTAAGCTCTTCCCTTCCCCGTCCCATCATCAGAATTGCATCTTTCTACCCAAAGATAGCTTCTACTATCCTCCTCCTCCTCAATACCCATTTTTTCTTTCCTTCTCTGAAATAGATACGTAGAAGAGCAGGGTCAGTACATTTTAAAACAGATGTATAGAGAAAGGAATCTGGGTTCAACTTCTCAACAGAATAAATAATAACTAATTATATTCTCTCTCTCTCCCCCCCCCTCTCTCTCTGTGTATGTGTGTGTAATTTATATGCTGTATCTTGATCTCTCTCTCAAAAAAAAGATACATCAGCAAAGTTCAAAAAAGTAAATGATATAAAATAATCTAAGATCTTTTAAAATTAAACCAGTATTAAATATAAAAGACAATTAAGGATCATTTTACGGTATCTATGCATATAAGAGGACTTCACTTAATAGACACTGAACAGAATGAAAAATTAGTGCCAGGTTTATCATCTGTGGAATGGCATTCTAAAGCTGGAGCAGCATTATGAGAAAGCCCTCTTTTTTTCTCCAATAATAATAATACAGTCCAAACATCTGGCTGACTGTGCGACCAACCATAATAATATATTAAACTTGTATGTCTCCTGACTCACAATGACTCAAGATAAATACACTCCTCTTACAAAAGCAGTGGTGAAAAGGATCTCTTTTTCTTATATATAGTCAGTTTGTAATTTGACAAGGTTCTTCTTCAGATATGTTGGGTCCAGTTTATTTAGGATTTGAATTTAAGACTATAAATTTAAAGTATCGGCACTTTAAATTCATAGGCACCCACAGCAAAATTATGATTTGCATATGGTAATGTCATGACAGAAACCCTGCTCTTAAATACTCGCATCCTGATGTCTGACAGGAATATGTAAGTTGCAGATTTTGTGTCATGGCAAACCTTTTGTTTCTTCTTTTGCCCTGTCCCCAGATAGATGCAGTTCTTTCAGAGTAGACAAATGAGTCTAATTCTTGCAGGTGAATTTGGGCTCAGTTGAAGTTTTCAAGAGTAGCTCTTTGTATTGGAGCAGTCCAACTTTGCAGTTATTTGGATATTAGTCACTGTATCTAGAATGTCTCTGTCTAGCAAAGGAGATAGCTGACAAACCAAATGAAGCTAAGAAAAGTTTGACCCACCAAAGCTACTTAGGGTTCAAGAGAGAATGTTGAACCCAAGAGTGTTCCTATGGGATACATCTGCTCCTTTGGGGATAGTTCAGCCTTATCTAGAATAGGAACAACTAACCCTTAATGCTTGTTAGGATTTCAATTTTATTTTGTTCTTGTATGTAAGAGTATTAAAAATAAGTAACTATCATCCTCTCTACCTCTTCCATTTTCTTTTAAAGAAAAACAGAAAAATGGTGCATCTTCTATAACTCATCTTAAGTCAGTGAATGTTGTATTTGTGGTGTCTTACTCACCAGTTTAAGAACAATGATACAGAAGTGGGAATTTCCATAGGTGCAGCCTTTCTCTTCTGCTGATCCTTTTGGGATTTTTTCTTCTATACAGGAACTTCTACAATTACTGCACCTCATCACCTTTGATGTTTGCATTGACAATGTCAACAGAGGCCTTTAAATAATTGAAAATCATCTGTGTGCACTATAATAATACTATTTGTATTATACACAACAGCCGTACAATAATAATCTTAGTTTCTTGTTACATATGTGAGCCAGCATGAGCCATATTGTGCATGATGTGGCTGACACAAATTTGCTTAATCCACATAATCTAGATTGCGTCTTGTACTGGACTTCTATGCAACAAGATCTAGTTATTTTCTAACTGAGAGAAAAGTCTTTTATCTTCACATGTACACATTTATTTGTCATTTTTTAACATTTATGAGCAGTAGTTAAACAACATCTGTGCAGAGAAAAATTAAAATGTTACTATTAACAGGGCTAATATTTTTGTGCATATGTTAATCAGTTTGCCATTTTAAATCCACTTTTTATACAAGTAAAAAGATTATATATTGGACAGTATAAAATATTTTGCAGTAAATTATATGTTTGGCATGGAGGCAATACAGGAGACATTATATCTGAATTCTCTATTACCAAAATATGCCTATAGAAGTAGGTCCCAAGAAAGTAAATGTAATTTAGGTATGATTTATAAAGAAAAAATACAAGTACATCCTACAACTTTTTTGTCACAAACTACACTTCTGGTTTATTTCCTTAAAATAAGGATTGAATACTTTGATTATCTAAACAGATTTCTCAGAGCTCCTTTAACAGTATGATGTTTCTCAGATTCTAATCTGATTATACCAATACACATTTTCTTGTGATATTCTTATCATATATACATTTTTCTTTGTTACATGTTAATATTTATGAGGCACTTTGTTTATATTAGACTTCAAAACGGGTTACATATTTTATTTTCAGGCCACTATGTCAAAAAGAGTCTTATTGCCTTCTATCCCATCACTGGAATCAGCAGCCGGTAGAAGTGATCAAACAAGTTCAAGTGGAGAAAAGTCCTCTTCTAGTGGGAAAGATTCTCCTTCGAGAAATGAATTAAGAAATAGACTGGCTAGCATGGCTCCAAAACAGATTTCACCAAATCCTGAAGCTCTGAAATTTGAACATAATACAAAATCTCAAGAAAGAACTAGAAAGCGGCAGCAGCCTGTAAAACTGGAGCCTTTAGTAGGTTGATTTTGATTTTAAGTTTTTTTATTTGGAAAAACTGTGGATTTTTTTCAGATACTTTTAATCTTATGAAGAACTGGTGCATAAATCCATTAATTTTAGTATTTATATATAGAAAATGGAAGATGTTATGTTGGTTATCAGTTAGTTTTGAAATGCGGAACTACAAAGATAAAACAGCTTAATATTAGATTGACAACTGCTTATCAGAAAAAGGTTTGAGGAGATACAGTTCTCCTGTATGAGTAAACATTATACCAAATATTGCAGTGATGCTCCTAATCAAGTTAATTTCCTATCTTACAACTTAAAGTTTCATAGATCTTTGACTAGATTAATTTAGTCTTTCTAAACATGCAAACTACAATAATTATGTAAAGAAAGATTAATCAAATGCATCATCTGTAACTATGTGTTTTGAGCCTTGAAAATAATCGCCATCCAATGACATAGAACCAGCATAGTACAATTCAGTTAGTTGAAGTTTCCAAGATTTGTTCCCCACCCCCAAGTGCAGGCCATACAGTTCCTAATACATATTAAAATCAGGGCATGAAAACTCATCATTGTTATACAGTGTTGGCACAAGACAGATGACTTTAGAAGATGCTGTAAGTCACTAACAGTGTGAACCTTTGCTTTAAGAGAATGTGCAACCTATGCAAAACAAACCACAGCTCTTCAATTTATCAGACCCCAACCAAAACAGTGGTACATGCTCTTTTCCCTATCCACAGTCAAAGAACTATGACGGGGTCTATCTATACTTAGCTAATTTAATTTTATTGTCTATTAACTTATATAAAATATGTCTATGGATGAGTTGTTTTTTAAAACTTATTTTATTCGCAACTTAGCCTGTGTTAAAAATATATCAGCACCAAAAACAACCTGAATATATATACCAGAAGAACAAGGAAAAACTGTTAGCAGCTGGAGTATTACAGCCTACAACTTCAGTAGCGAAAAGAAAATGGCCTGGTGCAGTGGAATCACTTTCATCTGAACTCCATGAAGAACTAAAAGAAAGACAGGTATTGTCTGTCCTTTTAGATTGTGAATGCATACTTTTACATTTTTAAGTATTTAATCTCCCCTTCATAGAAAATACGTTCAAGGCACAATTTATTATTTCTAATAAAAATAATGTTAAAAGTATTCCTTGCATGCTGGAGTTAATGAAATATCTGTACTGAAAGATGCAGGGATCATCTTTTCAGCATACTTTAAAAACATTATCAGGCATCCCAAATTCAGGTCACTTTCCACTTATTTAAATTCTAAAAAATACATAAAAGGAGATTTCACTGCATTATTAATGTAATAGTTGTTCAAAAGTGAATATGGCCAGTTGTACTTTTTCATTATTTAAAGCTGCTTTTAAACTTGCCATAAATGGTTCTCGTCTGCTGAAGGAAGTTCACTTTAAAACCAATGCAGTCCTGTTTTTCTTATTTATGTCATTTATGTTATGTCAAAAAATAAAAAGTGATACTGCTGTGTTACATTTCTGCTGTGGGAGTTGTGCTAGCTACTGATACGTTTCTGAGTGTAATTCAAGGAACTTGTCACTACCTATAAAACCATCTTTCTTCAACATTTTCTGCCAATCCTGCCCAAAGAATTAAGTAGCACCTGCTAATTGTCCTCACCTATCAGGCAGTATGGCAGGAGGGGGCTCTGCAATAGGCATTCTCTATAGCAGCTCTCTTCCCCTGGAATAGCTTGCCTGCTGAGGCAAAGATAGCCCCCACCCTCATGGCCTTCTGGAGACAGATGAAAATATGGCTTTTCCAGAAAGCCTTCAAGTCTTAATTGTACAAGCAGCGCCATATTCAATTAATTCAATGTATTATTTATTATTTAACATTAATTTAACTGAAACTTAATTGGATTAGCATTTTAATTAATATATCAACTTGCATTGCATTTATATGTAAATTCTGTAAGCAATTTAGAGTCCTTCTGGTTTCAGGTGGTAAATAAATGTTATCAGTAAAGAGGTAATAAACTCCTGAGAATGTTGATAGAGGATGCTATTCTGTCATAAGCACTGAAGTAATGTGCAGGTGTTGGGCCAATTGAATTGTGAATGGGGATTGTGGAAGGGGATATCTTGTGCTCCTTTGCTTTCAGGAAGCAAAATATATTTATCAGGCCCTCTTACATGGCTCCCTTCCCCTCTACATGACTGTAACAAAGAGCTCAGAAACACTTGCCTGCAGCTTTAAGATAATAACATTTCTCATTAAATCTGAAATGGAAACCTGAATATGGTTTTTTCAAAACACTTTCAATCCAGGCTTACTTGAATAAAGCATAATTTAGTTTCCACACTATAGAAGAAATTAAAACTTCTTGTTAATTTAAATCAGGAAGGAAAACCTTTCAATCTGTTTTAAGTCATTCTGGAGGAAGAGAGTATTTCTTGCTAGACCAATGCTCACTGTTGTGCTAGTATACATAGTGATAAATCATGATATAGTGTTGTTTTAAAAAAGATTAGGGAAGCAGTTGTAAATGTTATTGTTATGCAGTAAATCTGTGATTGTATACTGCTAACTCAGAATCTACAGGAAGATGCTGTGTTTTCAAAAAACACAAAATATGCTTAGGGAATCAATAGAACAAACGTGTTTTTTTTTAAACTAATAGTTATATATAAGTTCTTTTCTTTTATTGTTACAGTTGCTGAGTGCTACGGTACGACTTCCAACTCCTCCTAAGCAACCACGTAGTATAGTAAAGTTAAGTGCTTGTAAACCAAGCTCAGCTCCACCTTTACGTACATTTAATGAACCAGAAGAAGTAATTAAAGCTAATGTTACAGAACCTCTACAGATTATAAGAATAATATGTGAAAACAAAAATCTTGGATTTCTATACATGACTCCTGCAGTGCCTAAATCATCAATTGAGTATGACACATATAACTTGAAGTGAGTTACTTTTAAATTTTAGAGTGATTGTATGTTAAAAAAGTAATAATTTCAAGTTTAATATGAATTTACAGATTTACCACTTATAATACCAGTCTCCTGTTCTATCAATGGTTAATATACATACTCAAAGAAATACCATATGTTGCACTTCTTAATAAAGTTATATCTAGTTTCTATATTTTTCTTATATGTATATGTTTTTACTTGATAGATGTGATCTAAAATTTGAAAGCTGATGTCTTTTTTCTTAGAAAGGGGGGAACTAGAATGAAATTGTCCAATCCAAGGAACGCTGTTAAAATTTGACAAAAAGGCCAATTATATAATGTATACAGCTCAAAAGATGTAGGGTATTTAGATGAGTGAATATGAGATATTTTCAAACAGTTGTGGCAACATAGAAGGACAGTATTATCATATGCCAAATATATGTTTTTCAATATTGTTTTGTCAGGTAATTTATATACCAGCCATCAGCATACAATGACAATTATTGTATCAATAGAAGCAAATATGTGTAGCTTAGGGTTGAACTGCGGAGTCCTTGGGGTTCTCTGAGCTTGGCTGTTTTCTTGCAAATGTTTCGTTGCCTGGCTAGGTAACATCGTCAATGCTAGAATGGAATGGGGTTTGCTCTCTGTTTATATACAGTGGCATGCCCTGCCAGTGTTGGTGGGGGTGTGGGTTTTGTTTTGTTTTACGTCAATGCTAGAATGGAATGGGGTTTGCTCTCTGTTTATATACAGTGGCATGCCCTGCCAGTGTTGGTGGGGGTGTGGGTTTTGTTTTGTTTTACGTCAATGCTAGAATGGAATGGGGTTTGCTCTCTGTTTATATACAGTGGCATGCCCTGCCAGTGTTGGTGGGGGTGTGGGTTTTGTTTTGTTTTAAGATGTTCTGGTCTTTTGTTTTCCTTTCCTTTCTATTGTCTCTTTTGAATAGTGTGTAGATATTGTTTATCTCTATGTGCCTATTA